TCACTCTGTCGCCCAGACTGGAGTGCAGTGGCTGCTCCCAGCCACCACAACCTAGACCTGCTGGGCTCCCGCGATCCTTCCGCCTCAGCCTTCCAAGTAGCTGGAACTACAGGCGTGCGCTACCATGCCCAGCTAATTTTTTTATTTATTGTAGAGATGAGGTCTTGCCAAGTTGCCCAGGCAGGTCTCAAACCCGTGGGCTCAGGCAATCCACTCACCTCAGCCTCCCAAAGGCGCGGGATTACAGGCCATTTCACATTTTAAATATTCCTTTTAAAACTGCTTTATTGGCTGGGCATGGTGGCTCAAGTCTGTAATCCCAGCACTTTGGGGGGCCGAGGTGAGGGGATTGCCTGAGCTCACAGGTTCAAGGACAGCCTGGGCGACTTGGCAAGACCTCATCTCTACAAAAAAAAAAATTAGCCAGGCAACAGAAGAATCACCTGAACCCAGCAGGTTGACACTAGGGTAGTCGTGAGCGTGCCACTACACTCCAGCCTGGATGACAGAGTGAGACTCTAACTAAACAAAAACAAGCAAAAAACTGCTTTATCCACCCCCCAACATTGAATCCCTTGTAGAGTTACAAAGTAATATTTTCCAAGCTTATCTTACAGATGTTACCATTTTATACCAGTAATATTTAATATAAGAAAAACAGTTTGTGTTTAAAAAAACCTTGTTTTATGTGCCAAGTATTAAAATATCTGGTAGGTGGAAACAGCAGTATTGTACCAAGTAATATTGAAATAAAACCATTTTATATTTGGGCATATGAACACGGTCCTCTGCTATAATATTTAATGACTATCTCTAATAACCATTTGCATAATCTCCCTAGTATTCATTTAAAAAGAGGAAAGAGGCTGGGTGCAGTGGCTCACTTCTATAATCCTGGCACTTTGGAAGGCCGAGGCTTGAGCCCACAAGTTCAAGACTAAGCCTGGGCAACACAGTGAGCCCTCATCACGACAAAAAAAATTTAAAGAGCCGGGCATGGTGGCATTTGCCCATAGTCCCAGCTACTTGGGAGGCTGTGGTGAGCCATGATCATGCCACTACACTCCAGCCTGGGTGACAGAGCGAGATCCTAAGTAAAATTAAAAAAGGAGCTAGGCTCGGTGGCTCAGCCTGTAATCCCGCGCCTTTGGGAGGCTGAGGTGAGTGGATTGCCTGAGCCCGCGGGTTCGAGACCCGCCTGGGCAGCGAGACCTCATCTCTACAATAAATCAAAAAATCAGCCGGGCGTGGTAGCGCATGCCTGTAATTCCGGCTACTCGGAAGGCTGAGGCGGAAGGATCGCCGGAGCCCAGCAGGTCGAGGCTGCGGTGGCCGGGAGCAGCCACTGCACTCCAGTTTGGGCAACTGAGTGAGACTCCAAATCAAAAAAAAAAAAAATTTAAAAAGGAAAGAGCATCTTAGGGAAAATGATATTTTATAAATCAGAAAAATACTAGACAAATATATCTTTAGGGAATATTGAATCTATAGTAAAAAAAATTTTTTTTTAATGGGACGTAAGCCTTTAAGACAATGCCTTTTATCATTTACAGAACCTAATTCTTTGGGAGTGAAAAAATACACAAATTATCCATTTGCTTTCCTAGCCTGGCACTGTGCTTGGTGCCAGATATAGCAGTGAGTAAAATAGCCACTGCCTTCATAGTGCTTTCTACCAGGAAGACAACATTATTCAGTTATTATATATGATACAAATTATGATATGCCTTGAAGAAAAAGCATTTAGAGAGACAGAACAGGAGGCATGACACATAAATTTGATTTCTTTTTTTTTTTTTTTTCTTTTTGAGTTGGAGTCTCACTCTGTCACCCAGACTGGAGTGCAGTGGCCGCTCCTGGCCACCACAGCCTCAACCTGCTGGGCTCCGGGGATCCTTCTGCCTCAGCCTTCCAAGTAGCTGGAATTACAGGCATGCGCTACCATGCCCGGCTGATTTTTTGATTTACTGTAGAGATGCGGTCTCGCCAACTTGCCCAGGTGGGTCTCAAACCCGCAGGCTCAGACAATCCACTCACCTCAGCCTCCCAAAGGCACGGGATTACAGGCTGAGCCACCAAGCCCGGCTCATAAATTTGATTTTAATTGCAGGAACTAGAAAAGCTTTGAGGACATTTATGGCTTTTGCAGTCACATGGTTGTCCAAATGGAAGATGGTGATTGTCATCTTGGTGGAGTTAGAAGGGGCTAGGGTCCAGGTGAAGTATGGCAGGAGGCTGTGATGGTTTGCAAGTGGGAAGTGGGGAAGAAAGGGTTTCTAGCCAAAAAGGCTAGATGCATGCAGGTTCTCTGGGGAAAAGAGTGAGCTCAGAAGCACAGTTAGTGCACATACCAGGTTTCCAAGGCAGTTACATATATGGAACTAAAAATATAAGTTTTGAAGCTGTATAAGAAAATGGTATTTAAAGCCATGGGAATGAATGATTGCTTAAGGAGAATGTACAGTGTGAGATAAAGATCTGAGGAACTCCAATATTTAAGGGCTGATCAAAGCAGGGCAACTGGCAAAGGGGACTGAGAAGCTGGCAGTGAGGTTGGAGAAAAAAACAAGACAGGGTCATGTCAAGGCTGGCCACAGAAATCTTTCCAGGTGGAGGTAGTCAACTGGACAGTTAGATGAGGACTGAGAGGTCCACTGTATCTAGCAAAATGAATGTCACCGATGACCTTAGCAAAGGCACTTTTGCTGGAATAACGGAGGAAAAGCCATTTTGGAGTATGTTGAAAAGAATGGGAAGGGAAGAAGTAGATACTGGATGTACAGCGACACTTTCAAGAAGCTTGGCTCAGCAAGGAAGTAGACAAGATGAAAAGTGGAAACAAAGTGAGGTTATTGGAGGATTAAGATGAGAGTACAGCATGTTTGTGTGTCACTGGAAAGTTCCACTGGAGAAGCTAAAGAAATAAGAGGGGGCTGAGAATAAATAAGGGACAGAAGTCTTGGAGAAGGGAGGAAGGAATGGGATTCTCTAAAACCACTTCAGAAGGAAATTAGGGAAATAACCCGAGTGTACCATCTCAGATTTCTTTTTTTTTTTTTTGAGTTGGAGTCTCACTCTCGGCCAGACTGGAGTGCAGGGGCCGCTCCCGACCACCGCAGCCTCGCCCTGCTGGGCTCTGGCGATCCTTCTGCCTCAGCCTTCCGAGTAGCCAGAATTACAGGCATGCGCTACCACGCCCGGCTGAGTTTTTGATTTATTGTAGTGATGAGGTCTCGCAAGGAATTTAGGAGGAAGTAATATAAACAGCAACAATATAGCGTGGATTTTTTTTTTAGTTGGAGTCCCACTCTGTCGCCCAGACTGGAGTGCAGCGGCAGGCTCGCGGCTACCGCGGCCTTGATCTGCTGGGCTCCGGCGATCCTTCACCTCAGCCTTCCAAGTAGCCGGAACTACAGACGCGCACTTGGACGCCCGGCTGATTGTTGACTTATTGTAGAGACGAGGTCTCGCCTAGTTGCCCGGATGGGTCTCGAACCCGCGGGCTCTGGCAATCCATTCGCCTCGGCCTCCCAAAGTGCTGGGATTACAGCCTGAGCCACCGAGCCCTCCGTGGCTGTTTTTAATAACTATGACAATTCCGACTGCGATTATCTAAGAGAGAATCCATTCCCATCTGCAAAATAAAGACTAACTCAGAGACCTCAGTCAAAGGTGTAAAAAATAAACGAGGAGTCATTGTGCCTTTACTGTAGCTTTATATGAAGCCCTGATCATTTACTGTATCGGAATCACCAAACTGAACTCTGGATGTTTCTTAGTCCAAGAGGCAAGTCTTGGCGATTTCTATTTTGACTGAAGGAGACACATTTCTGTGAAAGGCTGAAAAAGATGACCACACGTTCTCTGGCTTCCGCTCATCAAGAGGTGAGGTATCTTCCTCTTCCCCTTAACTGTGGCCGGCTTTATTGTTGTTTTGGCAATTCGAATGTGGCTGAAGCCTGCTTCCCAAGCTAGGCCTGAACCGAGGTGCCCCAGCAGCCAGCCAGCATCAACTGCCAGAGTGTAAGGCCGTCTTGGACGACCCAGCTCAGCCAGGTCTTGAGGGATGAAGCCACATTAATAAACCCAGGTGAAACCAGCAGCGAAATCACCAACTTGCCTACATAATTGTTAGAGAAAATAAATCGTTGTTTTAAGCAACTAATTTTGAGGCAGTTTGTGAGACAAAACTAGGTAGCTTAAACTGTTACCTTGTCTCGGCTGCTGGGGGAATTTCCCATCTGGTCAAGTCACAGGGTTTTCTTGCTAACTGCAATGAAGGACACCCCAAGTAATGGTCACTAGCTTCACTGTTTTCTGATCCACTCCGTTCTACTTAAACCATCTCTGTACTGCGTTTACCAACGTTTACTCCTTTAAATGTAATCTTTCAAAACTGATTTGAATTTCCTCACCTTTCAAGTGTAGTTACCTCCATTTGGACTATGAAGAGATTACAGAGCCAGCGCAGTGCCTTCGTGTTCAGTAAAGAATATCTGCTAGCACTTCTGCCTGGCGTGCGACCTCACTGCTCTGGGTTACTGGGAGCTCCCCGCAAACTCGCTCCACGAAATGCCCACTCCAACCCGGTAACCTGCCTCTCCTACCTTCGCCCCGGGTGGCCAGTGGCTCTGTGCTGTCGCGTGGGAACTCCCATCTGAACAGGGGCTTTATGACTCTCGACACTTTGGGTCGAACACGGCCTGCGTCCCTGCCTGGAATCGGGTTTTGCGTCTGCTAGCTTGGCCAGAAAAGGGATCCGGGAGCCCTGCGGGTTGCCGGGCTCTGCGACCAGGCAGGCGAGAGGGAGGCCCGG